TGTGGTATTTCTGTTATAGCAGCACTAGATAATTGAGACAACAGTTTACACCTGAAACATGGTTTTTAGCACTAGTAATTAACCTTGTCATGTGGGATGCATTCTGATCTCTTCCCTTCTCATCCATTTCATTAAACAGGAAAAAAAAAGGTGGTTATATAGCTCAATAAACTGATGTCATGACCTACCTTCAGTTTGAAAAATGTTGTTTTTGAGAAAACTGGAGGTGATATTAGGGCAGCAGTGATTCAGTGTCAGAATTCCAGCCCTCTGTGTGGGAGACCCAGGTTCAGTTCCTGGCCAGTGCACCTCACGTGCAGCCACCCATCTGTCGGTGGGAGCTTGCATGCTGTAATGATGCTTAACAGGTTTCAGTAGAGTGTCCAGAGTGAGACAGACTAGGAAGAAAGGCCTGGCAATCTATTTCCAAAAATCTGCCAATGAAAACCATATGGATCACAGCAGTTCGATCCACAGCTGATCATGGGGATAGCACAGGACCAGGCAGCGTTTCGTTCCATTGTGTATGGGGTCATCATGAATCGAGGGCCAACTTGAGGGCAGCTAGCAAAAAACAGAGGTTATGTATGCATTACAAAAAGGATATGATTATTGAAAAAAACAGAACAGCAGTTGTAGACAGGATAATTTCACCTTGAAAGGAAGAAGAAAAGAGAGATAGGACCAAAAATGCTGGAAAGCCCTCTTCAGAATGGAGACTAAGTATACACACTTAAACGGAGAAAACCGAGCAGTGAGAGGCCAGCTCTGTCAGAGATGGTGCGAGTGAGAGTTGGGGCTGAGGGCAAGGGCCTTGCAGTTGGTGATAGAAGGGGAGACTTAGATTTTGTTCGTGAAAGCTTGTTCTTGAAGAAGGGTAGAGGGAGGGAACCAGAAACATTAGGAAGAAACTAAAAAGCAGATGCACTTGGTATTTTTTAAATTGCTGTTACTTGGTTGAAAATGCAGTTTCTGAGAGCCAGTGTTATTCCTGCAAACTGAAAGAGCACTCACCTTGTCAAAGGTCATGGCTTCTAAATGGCACAACTGGGACTTGAACCCCTCCTGACTTTACTTGCCTCTGTACTTGCCTGCAGAGGTGGTGAGGACAAGGTGGGTGAGGGGATGAATGGCCTGGTGGTGGTCAGGCTAGCTGGGCTGGGAGCAAGCTTGTTACAGGCCAGGCATGCTCTGTCCTGACTGCTCTTTGTGGCCTGGAACAGATTTGGCAGTTACCTGGTTATTTGATCAGTGTAGATGGCCACTCCAGGTAAATAAGTCCCCAGACTCCACTCTGACCTGTATGAAATGAATAGAATGGACAGTTGCAGGTTAGTCTGTCCAGTTTTCTCTTTTAGGACAGCCTAGGGTCCTGAGGCTTGAGGGAGTAGTCTCTTCAGATGGATCAAGCCTAAAGGGAATTCCAGGGCAGTGTTGGAGGGGAAGCTGCCAGTCAGAGCCTAGGAGCCCTTGGAGATCTTAGAAGTCAGGGGCAAGGGCCAGGCAGGAAAGGCAAAGCCAGATTTCAAGACCTGGACAGACAGCATGATGGGAGTTACAAGGTGGGAATGAGGTGGGAGGGCCCAGGTTGGGGTTTCTCCCCATAACTCCTTAGGTGTGCGCCAGGGCAACAAGTTGCCATCAAGTCGATTCTGACTCCCGGGTGACCCCGTGTGTGTCAGAGTAGAACTGTGCTCCATAGGGTTTTCAGTGGTTGATTTTTTGGAAGTCGGTTGCCAGGCCTTTCTTCCAAGATGCCTCTGGGTAGACTTGAACTTTCATCCTTTCTGTTACCAGCTGTGCACATTAACAGTTTGCGCCACCCAGGGACTCCGTGGGACTGGGGAAGCTGGTGGTAATCAGACAGGGCTTGGTGGGCCAAGGAGGCTCTGGGGAAGGCTGGGGAGGAGGGTGTGTTTGCCGTGTCTACGCTTGCAGGATACAGAAGTCAGGGCTGGGTGATCATTATGCTATCTGCCCAGCCCTGAGCTTCGTTTTTGTCATCGTCTAGTGTTGAATATGTGGAATTATGAACTGTTCCTTTAAAGAGTCCCATGGATGCCTGCATCCCACGCTGACCCTCAGGTGTTCACAGGGCCAAGTAGACCTCATCTTTTTCTAACAAGAAGCTTTACATTTTTCATCTTGTGATTTTGTAGTTAAGAGAAAGAAAGTCTGTTTATAGTCCTGTGTGTTATTTCTATAAACTACCCTTTATATGCAGAGTTGCCAGATGCTGCCCAAGAGAATCTATTTCATATGGTAATTTTCATTAATGAATCAAGACATACAATGTTCAACCTTGCCCCAGACTGTCTTGGCTGAATTAGAGGAAGATTGTTGCAGTCAGTGTGATGATTTTTTAGGGATTCCAAAGAGGACAATACAATAGTGTTTCATAACAGATTCAGAAACTGTGTAGTTCTGAATATTTATACAAACCGCATCAAAAAATATTATATGGGAAAGCATAGTTTTGATATTTGAATTTAAGAGGACCTTCTGTGTTTCCCAGCATCACCCTCAAAAATTGGAATCTGCATTTCCTCCATTCATTCAATAAATAGCTAACACCTGTATTATGTTCATGGCATCACATTGGGCTCTGAGGGACCTCAAAGAAGAATGGTCTCTGCCCTCAAGGGGGAGTAAAAGAAACAATTTTATCTAATTGTTTTTTTAACACTGAGTAGTATTAATCTGGCTTCAGAACATCGTGGTCACCAGGGAAGGTGATGAGGTGAAGGGAGCCACTTCGAGGCCAGTGCCCTCATGGCCTCATGCCCCTTCCTGGAGCCCCAGAGCCTTTCTTCTCTTTCCTGCTCCTCATCCCCTGGGGGTTTATGGGTTAGGCCAGCCTGGCTCGAGTTCCCCTGCGGCTTGCGAGGATGAATCTCTGATGGCTGTGATCTTTACATTTTCCTGCAGTGCCAGCGACTGTTTGTTTTACACGTGTCTTGGAGTCCCTGGGTGGTGCAGGTGGTTGAAAGATGGTGCAAACTAGCTGAAAGGTCAGTGGTTTGAACTCACCCAGAGACGTCTTGGAAGACAGTCCTGGCAGTCTGCTCCAGAAAGGTCACAGCCTTGAAAACCCTGTGGAGCAGTTCTACTTTACACACATGGGGTCACTGTGTGTCAGGATCGACTCACCGGCAGCTGGTTAACTGGTTAAGACCTCCTAACTCTTGGTATTCATAGACTAAAATTAGCACTAGCATTTCTGAGAAGGGTTCCAGGTCCACTTCCTGCCTGCCACACCCCAGAGCTGCTGCAGGACCCAGCATACATAGACAGCTGCAATTCCACCAGAAAATGGGGAGGAGTTGGTGAGGTCGGTGCACCAGGGCCTGCCTGGCCCAGAGTAGGTACTCAGTAAATGTTCATTGACTGAGTAAGTTCAACTAAAATGTGTGAAAGCCAGGAGTTTAGGCTACTAGCAATTTAAGGTCTCGAAACTCCTGGAAGAAGGTGTTAAGTGTAGGAGGTTGGAGAGCCTACAGGAGACCCTGAAGGTCCTGTATTTATAATTCTAGATGGTTTGGGTGATTCGGACTATGGCCAGATAATCAGTCATTATTTTATTCAGCAAATATTCATAAATGTACTTGTGTGCATGTTGTTGTTAGCTGCCGTTGGGTGGGCTCCTGACTCGTAGTGATCCCGTTTACAATGGAACAAAATGGATTGGGCCATTGTGATCCATAGGTTTTCAATGGTTAATTTTCGAAAGTAGATTACCGAGCCTTTCCTCCTAGTGCATCTTAGTCTGGAAGCTCTGCTGAAACCTTTTCAGCAGTCAGGGCTCCACTGATAGACGGGCGGTAGCTGTGCATGAGGTTCGTTGGCCAGGAGTCAAACCCAGGTACATAGCATGCATTAAACCCTCTTGGGGATACCAAAGGCACCCATAAGGCAGTGATTCCTAAACTTGCCGGCACGTTACACCTGGGGAAGCTCCTAAGCCTTCCAAAGCCCAGGTCACTCCCAGACCATCACAGTCACTGAGTATGGGACACAGGCATCAGTATTTTGGAAGCTTCCCAGGGGATTCCAATGTGCAGACAAGCTTTAGAATCACTGCCATACCAAGTTTATGATGGAGTTTTAGATAACACACCCAGAAAATTAGAGAGCACTACAGAAAACTCAACAACAGAAAAGATGGCAATACAGAAATCTCACAAAGCAGGTACGTGATTTAAAACGAAATCAGTGCTGTGAGTAATACTCGCTCCCTTGCAAGGAGGAGAGCCTTCAGTGGGTTAGGTGGTGAGAGCACCTAGCAAAACTGGGCCTAGAAAGATGGGTTGGCTTTGACCGGTGCGGGAGCAGAGAGCAAGGTACCCCTTTAACCTTGAATTCAGGCAAGCCCCTGGATGGCCCTAGATCTCCATTTTGGCATCGTTGGCAGAATGGGCCAGTATATCAAGAACTTGTATTTCCCTTGTCATTAAGTGGATGAGTGATTTTCCTATAAAAGACAAACTGCTGGTTATACCCGAGTTTTTTCTTGTGTATATGTGGTCTGAGAACTATGAGGTAAAGCTTATCCCTCAGGATAGAAATGTTTAGCTTCACTTCTTGATTCCCTTGCTCTTAAAATTGTACCATGCCCTCTTAACAGCCACAGCGAGAATCCCTGTGTGTGCATATCAACACACAAGTGAGCCATTTTATATGGGCATTCAGTACCCCAGGGCCTTGTGGAGCGGTGAGCTATGGTTGCGCTTAGGGTGGGTGAAGATGCTTGACCTTGGCCCCTCCTGGCTGCTCTAGGTGCTTACAGAACCCAGAGCTACTGCGGTTAATGGTTGTGCTGCTAATTGCCAGCCCAGTCAGACCACTTGGCCCTCATTTGGTATTCTCAGTACTTGCCATCTGTAATTTTTTTTCACAGAGTCTGTTATTTCAGAGGGGGGAATGGAAAGCTTCGACACTCTTCGTAAATTCTTCGTGAGCTGCGAGCCAAGTTTTCCTTTCTTTCTTTTTTAAACCCATAGTGTGCCATGCTGAGCTGAATGCCATTATGAACAAAAACTCGGCCGACGTGAAAGGCTGCACCATGTATGTCGCCCTGTTCCCGTGTAATGAATGTGCGAAGCTCATCATCCAGGCAGGTAGGAGGCGGGCTGTTCCATTTGTAGCATTTGCATGGCACCTGCTTTCAGTAGCTCCTTGCAGATGTGTTGATCTTAAATTGCTATTGTTTAGATCTAAATTAATTGCACTATCAACTTTGCAAGATATTTCCTGTGTTTTGTTTTTGAGCGGTGCCAGGTATTCTAAGACTAATTGCATCCTCTGTGGTTCTTAGCATGTTTTTAATTTAGTTTGCAACTTCTTAAACTGCAAGTTGCCAAAAAACAACACAGCATTGCATGTAATTACTGTCAGTTTACTGTTCTCTGACATATTGTGCATAGATTAGGGGGAGGGAGAGAAATGAACTTTGCCAGATACAAGGTCAGCTGGGAGTCTGTAAATGAAATTTTAATTTGTATCTAATACACGGTAGATATTTGGAGATCTGAACATCTCTGCATATAAATGCCTTAAGTCTTAAATGGTACTGCTTTGGGTTCTTCTTATATTACACTTGCTATAAATCTGTACCATTGTATTCTGAATATTTCACCTTTTTTACACTGTCACATCTTAGTTTCAGCTGCACTTTATCTCCATAAAACTCTCAGCTGGAGATTTAAACGCATATCATGATTAGCCAAATGTGTGGTTTAAGGTGTCTGTTTTATCACGAGCCTTGTGGATCTCTGGGCAGAAGAGGTCTGATGGTATCAGAATCAAAGGCCTCCACTTGCTTGTATCGTGGGTTCCCATGCTGCTGCTTCGTGATACTCAGAGGGTTTTCCACGGCTGGCTCCCGTGTGGAGGCAGCAGCAGGCACTTGGGCAGGGCAGTAGGTTCTCTGAGCGGCCACTGCCTTGTGCGTCCTTCAGAAGCTGGAGGAGGAGCAGCCCTCAGTTGGAGTGGTAGCTCACGTGCCCTCCACAGTCCTGGCTCTCGAGCTAGTGCTACCTGGTAAAGGAAACAGATATGCTCTCCATGGAGCTGGTTTGAGTTGGTTGGTGGAGCCATTCTTGGAAGCTCGGTGGTACTTCTCTCTGAATTTGCCAGCACTCTCTACTCTTCCCACTAGCCTCTAGAGTTAAGAGTAGTTGCCTTGTGAATAAAGAATATTTGATTGCCTGCAGTAAGGAAAGTTTGTTAATTGGATCAAGGCTTGACTGCTTTACATGTTTTCTCTTTGTATTTTGTTAAAAAAAAAAATCCATGAAGACTGGAGGGCAGATTAAATATAATACGTCCTTTGCTGTGTTAGAAATATTAGATATATATTTCAGTAACTGGACATTGTCTGCAAGCACACTCTGAAGTGATAATTAATCCATCTGCTTCTGCATGTCTTTGCATTACCTGTATTTTCATATACTAATGGGGTTCCATTGTTACCTTTTAAGGTATCAAAGAGGTTATTTTCATGTCTGATAAATACCACGATAGTGAAGAGGCAACCGCTGCCAGGCTCATGTTTGATATGGCCGGGGTTACGTTCAGGTAAGCAGGAAGTACTTAGGGGAACAGTGTTAAAGGGTGTGAAGAAACGTATTTGACCTTGTATGGTGTTTGATTTTGACTATGATGTCTGGCTTCCACATTCAGAAGTGGAATTTTAAATTTGATTGAATGCAAACTGAAATATTATTTTAGGGATAGATTTTTAGGACCAGTGACAGAAGTATCTGAAGACAATCTGTTTAATGGTTATACTTTAATATCAGTAACTTTCCAGGGCTTAGACTAATTATTCTAGTAGTGGGGAATTTAAAAATTCACAAGTTGTATAATGTTAACATTAGACCTTTGTAAATCTTGGACATGTAACAGCTCCAGCATAGAAAATTGAGGGTGAAAGTAAGCTGCTAGGTTGAAACACCAGGAATTCTTTTTACAGCCTCATTTTAAATTGAGGTTTGAAGTCATTTAGATTTTCATGATTATCTTTGCCAGGCAAAGATTGTGAGGTATGTTTTACTTGCAAGTAAGTTTAACCACCTTTGATTTACGGTGGAAAGTTCTTTTCAAACTGTAAAGCTTCACAAAGCAGTTCCTCTTCAGGATTTGTGGTCAGTGGGGATTATCATAATAGGGGATGTGCTTCCCTGTTGTATTCATCATTAGGGATAGAGTCTATATGTAATGAATCTCTTGAACTAAACTGTTGTGCCTTATGAGACTTTAAGTCCAAATTATCTACATAATCTTCTGTTCACTGATTTTTAAAAGAATATGTTTAGTCACCAAATATTTTCAGCTGTTGTAGAAGGTTCATTAATGAGTAAAAAACTATAGGGACTTCATTTTACTTTTGCAGTTTTAGAATGTGATTTAAAAAATCACTCCTCACTAAAGCTAGTTGGTTTTTTTTTTTTTTTTTTCTTTTGCTGTATACTAGAGGCAAAAGAAAATTTACTGTTTCTCAATTTAGAGCCATCCACTCTAGGTTGGCTGCAGAAATTTCCTAGAAAATAAGATAAATCTGGTAGGAAAACTAGTAATCGGATGTCATGTTGTGCAGCTAACTTGTTAGGAATCCTTTGGCTCCCCGATAATTCATGAGCTTAGAGAGCCGAAGAACACATAACCCGAGCAGTGCCATGCATCTTGTTTTGTCTTAGTCTTTTCTGGCCCATGTTTCTCTCAGTATGGTGCACTGTAATTGGCTCCTACAGAGACAAAATATCAGGTGAATCCCAGGAAATGTTTTCTCCTTACAGAAAATGTAGGTTCAGCCAAAGTAAACAAATTGTTTTAACTACTCAGCAGATAATATCTTTCTACGTTTTGTTTTTTTCATGTTTAGGAAATTCACGCCAAAGTGCAGCAAAATTGTCATTGATTTTGATTCAATTAACAGCAGACCGAGCCAGAAGCTTCAGTGAGTTACATCATTAAATCTCCAGAAGATTGGGATTATCCTCTTCTAAGAAGCTGCTAATGCCTTTCATCTTGAAGTTACACATAACTTTTTAATAGCCAGTACAGTGAAAATAGACATCTAAGGAATACAAAGCTTCAAATCTTCTTCCCTGTCTCTCTTGTCACATGGAATCTGCCTCTGTTTAAACTGTTGATTTATGGTACCTATTGCTGGCCTGTCGCACAGAGCTGGGTGGGGGTGCCTCCCCCTCTGGCCCCCGGCCCGCTGGGATGCTGGCAGCTCTCTGCCGTGGGATGCAAGCGGCAGCCACTTTTCACTACTACTGCGTGTGCTGGCAGGGGGATAGGGCCCAAATGACAGTAGCATGAAACTATTTGTTGTAGGGGGTTGAGGGGAACCCCCCCCAACAATCAAAAAGCCTGTCCTGACAGATGTTAAGTGGAACCAAGCCGGGGTGCTCACCGTGCACCTGCTGCCCTGCCACATGCAGTGCAGTGCCATGTTGTCCCTTTGGGGTGGGTGGGGACTCCTAGTTTTGCCTCTTATTTTTGATATGTCACACGGAGCTCTTACATTTAGTTGACATGAGTGATGAATTGTTCCTGGAGGAGAGCTCTGTGTACCCCCAGACCATGCCCCGCAGTGGTGGCCATTGGGGTTGAGTGGATGGGAGAGGTGGGTGTCCACCCGCTTCTCTGTGTGGAAACACAGCATCATTCCTTCACAGGCCACCGCAGTGCATTTCCAAGGCTGCTGTGCAACCAAAGAATAAATTAATTTCTATCCTGTAAGTGAAATTTGAAGAATTCGGCCCACCTGGAGGCAGTTTATTTCAGATCTGTTGGCGATTGGAGCTCATTTGTGCTCCTGCGCATGCCTTCATCTGCACAAATGGCACCTTCCTAATCACCGGGAGCCGGGGTGCCGCTGTGTACCTCGTCCTTAATCTCATTTAATTTTTATTAAACACGCTCAACCCCTTTGTTGAGAAAATGGTTTCTTTATCCTAAAGATTATTACCTTTTAAAGTGTTAGTATATTTTTGTGAGTTTTTACTTTGTCTCTGAGGTTTTGTACTCCATATTCTAGGGCATTTTGTAATTTGGCTCTTTACCCATATTATTAAAACCTTATTAAAACTACCACACTGAAGTATGCTCATTTTTATATTATCATAATTATATGCTTAACTCTCCATTTCTGTTGTCTGTGAAGCATACTACATATGCTCAAAGAACAATATGAGATACTAATGCTGTGGGCTTTCCCCAGGGGTGATGGGTGATGCTTCTCTATGGACTAGATTTAAAATGCTAAGAAAAGGCTTTATATAATCTTCAGTCCCCAATTCTGTCTCCTCTTGCCACCCTGTCACCTTATTCTCTTTCTAAATCTCTATTCTTTTCTCACTTCATTTCTCTCTTACCTCCTTCAAACCCCTTGCTCCAAAATGCCTAAAACAAAATACAATAAAACCTGTGAAAGCCAGAACCTGTGTAAGGTGGAAACCTGTTAGAGAAGGAAAACTCAAGTATTTCCCTCTAAAACCAGCAATAGAAAAGTAAGACTGCAATAGTAAGATTGCACGCTGTCAATCTTTCGAGACCTGGAAAATCAAGGCAGGCCTGTTCAGTTCAGCTCTCACAGGTTTCACCATATATGTAGAGGAAATCAATGTTAGTTGCCCTCAAATCAACTCTGATTCATGGCAACCCCATGTATGCAGAGTAAAACTGCTCCATGGGGTGTTTAAGGCTGTGAACTCTAGGAAGCAGATCGCCAGGCACCTCTGGGTGGGTTTGAACCGGCAACCTTCCAGTTAGTGGTCGAGTACTTAACCATTTGTGCCACTGAGAAAGATATCAATAAAACACTTAAAAGACAGAAAACAGATTTTTAAGTTGCTGAGAATTATAGGTTGTTAGGAAGGAATGTGTAATCATTATATCACATTCATAAATATGTCTGGGACTAGTTAGCCCATAGTGCATCTAATTTATTCACTAAATTTTGATACTAACATTTTGTCCCAGTTTGTCACACTGAGTTTTAATTGGGGCAGGTTAGCAGGGAAGGGCCCTTGGCTAGGATGGAAGCATTTCTATTGTCAGCCTGTGGTGGATTGTTTATGTGGTGGTGATGCTCTCTCCTATGGTGGGTCCCTGAGGCTTCCATCCAGAAACTGTGTTGCAGAACTTGATTTCCTGGTGACTGGAGTATAAGTTATTATGTCTGAGTTTCTGGTCTCACTACAGGAATGGTGGAATCTTCCTGTCCAGAAAATTCTACAGATGTCAGTGTTCCAGTTAATAGAGGTTTGCTTTGAACTGTTGGCCTTTGGGAAAAGCATTCCAGAAGGAAGGAGTTCTGAGCAGTCTTTTGCCTTTCAGGCATTACGAGGTGAGACTACGTGAAAGGAGTATTGCTGCCTGTCGTGGCTAATAAATAACAGTAAGGAAGCCATCTCTCACTGAACCGTTGGTAGATGAACTACATTTAAAAGGCAACCTTTGTGAGTGAAATGATAGGAACTCCATTTCCCTGACATATTTTATGCCTTTCTTGTTTTTTTTTTTTTTTAAGGCATCTATCCTTAAAGACTTCTGAAATCCAATAAGACCCAGCAATGAAAGTGATCTAATATATTAGTCATCTTTTCCTAAATTAAAAATGAAGCAAAATAAGGGAACAAGCATAAAAAGAGAAGGTTGGAAGAGCTTATGAATAAAAGTTTAGGCTTGCATGACCATTGAACTAGAGGTCTTGTGTGCCAGTCTTTTTTTTCCCATGTCCAGATCTACCTGAGGATTTAAGCCATTTAGGTTGAGGAGCAGATTGTTGCAGAAGGGCCTAGGAATGCAGAGGAGGTGGTTTTCTTAATGGTGACACTAATAAGAAGCTTCAATGCTTATCCTTCATTTGTTTTTGTTTTTTACAGCAAGACATCTCCAAAAATGGTAATTTCAGCAAGTCATCAACCGGGAAGCCTGCCTAAGGCTCAGTGAGAGGTCCAGAACTCTAAGGAGACTGTGCTTTGCAAACTTGTCTTTTGTCTGAGAAACACACTTAATGGTGACTAGATGATCACTGTCCAAGGAGGTGCAGGCAAGATAATGCTGGGCCCCTGACTTTTTGGTGCCAGGATCACATTTGGAGGAAAAGGCTTAACAAGTCCATGGGTCTCATCGATCTGGAGCCTGAAAAAAAAGATCGCTCTTATTTTTGGCGGCCAATCACCAAATCTCTCTGGAAGTTCACGCTTTTTCTTGAGCCCCAGCCCAACAGTTGCTTCTGTTACTCTCTTGAATGTCCAGTGTTCCCTTACAACCTGGCACCTTGGTCTCTGACTGTCTGCCTCCTTCCTCCATTCACACAAATGTCGGGAGGGCTTTCTGACTTTCTAAAAGATTCTAAATGTGCTTTCTTTGACCATTATGTTAGCTACCCAGGGCTGCCCTGACAAACTACCACAAACTGGGTGGCTTATAAGAACAGAAATTTATTGTCTCACACTTTTGGAGGCTAGTTGCCTAAATTTAGGGGTCAGCAGGGCCATGCTCTTTCCGAAGGCTCTAGGGGGAAGGTCCTTTCTTGTCTCTCCCAGTTTCTGGTAGCCCCAGGCATTATTTGGCTTACCGCTGCTGCAGTCCCTCCATCTTTACATGGCCCTCTCCCCTCTGTCTCTTACAAGGACCCTGGGTGGTGCAAACAGTTGGCACTCGACTATTAACCTAAAGGTTGGCAGTTCGAACCCACCCAGTGGCGCTAAGGAAGAAAGGCCTAGCAATATGTTTCATTAAGATTACAGCCAAGAAAACTATATGGAGCAGTTCTACTCTGGAATACATTGGGTCTCCATGAATCAGAATGAACTCAACGCCAACGGGTTTGGCTTTGGGTTTGCTCCTGTGTGACCTCGTGTTAACTGGTAACATCTCCAAAGACCCTATTTCCAAACAAGGCCACATTCACAGGCTATAGGAGTTATGATTTCAACATATCTTTTCAGGGGACACAATTCAATTCATAACAATCATCTAGAGGTTTCTGTGCATCTTTCAAGATTGAGCGCAACTCCTGCCTTCTCTATAAAGTTTCCCCAGGCCTTCAGCTTGATGTGATCGTCTCTGAAATCTTGAAGCAGTTATTGTCAGCAACAATCTCTTTGGCAATGAGTCAAGCACTGCTTCATGACATCTCGTCTGCTGTCTACAATTGTTATAGAAACATTTCATTTAATTTTCCGCATTTATCTCTCTGTGCCCTAACTAGATTGTAAGCTCCCTGAAAGCATGTGCTGTGTCCTTGACGTCCCATCCCACCCCATATGCTTTGCAAAGTACCTTAGACAGAGGTGCTTAATAAACATGTTATTAATATTTCCATTTAAAAGTTATGAACCTTATTTCACTTTAATTCAGTGAAGTAGCTGATCAGGAGCCAACTTCCTAATTATTTTTTCCATGTCGATTTCCTCGTGAATGGTTTGGAACAGTCAAATAGAATGTAAGAGAAAGAAATCTTCCTGTTAGCATCCAGGGTTAATGGGCACATTTATCTTTGAGAGAGAAGGGAGATTACTATTTAAATGTCTTTATTTTTAACTTCTGTGTTTCAGTTAAAGCATTCTTACATCTGGTTTTGAGTTAGGAATTTGGCAATAATACATGCTGTTGGCAGAATGCCCAGCTACGATGCTTCCATTCAGACCCATCTGATTACAGGAGGTCTTGACCTTTTCAGGTTTTAAATCACTGTGCAATGCTTACTGTTGTAGGAGTTCTTTATTTGAATCTTTATTGATGAAAATTGTTGGATCTTTAATATTGTTGCAAATGCCATTAAATCGGCATTTTGGTTAGGGAATTGGTTCTTCTGTACAGTGGTGCATGGCGTGCAGCCTTTTGTATATTCTCCTGCCTTTTCTCCTTTTCTTCCTGAATAAGCAGGTATCAGTCTTATATGCAGCTGTAAGTAACAGACACCTGACACTCAGTAGCTTAAATAGTCATATATTTTTCTCACATAAAAAATAGAGGTAACTGCTTATTGAAGTTGATTCAGCAGCTCCATGATATCAGCAAATCACTCGGCTTTTCCCTGAATTTTCCCTTGGCTACCCAGCATTATGTCTTCAAGCTTGTTTTGTCATGATGACTGCTGTAGGTTACTCCAGGTGTCACATTTACATTAGATGAAAGCAGAAGGAGATGGGGTGGGGGAGTGGTGCAGAGCTGTGTAAGTTCCCCTCTCTTGCCTATCCCCTTTATCGGGAAAGCAAAACTTTTCCAGAAGCCCCCAGTAAATACTCTCTTATGTCTCATTGGCCACAACTAGATGACATGGCCACCCCTAGCTGCAAGGAACGCTGGAAGAATACTTGGCGTTGCAGGTTCTGTAGCAGAGGCTGCAAAGGAGAAGGGCTAAGGGGCTGTTGTGTTAGCCAGCCACAACATATTCCTTGGGTGAAACATGGTGTAATTGTCTTATTATGCAATTTCTACTCACCTGCTTTTCACATACTAGGTGTCAAAAAGTGTTGTGTTGAAAAGTGATGATACCTGTTTCATAGCAATTTTGTGACCTTGCAGTGTTCACTTTCAAAGTTCCAGGTAGAAATCTTAGTTGGTGAGAACTATAAAGGAGAATTACACACACATGCGTACACAAACACACACCTTTTTTTTCAGAACCATTTGAGGGTAACTTATGTATATCATGGCCTTTTACTCCTAAATACTTGTTTTCTAAGAACAGGGATATTTACATGTATAATCCAAGTATGTTTATTGACTTCAGTGAACTTAACATTGTAGTAAAACCATTCGTATTCCAGTTTTGTCAGTTGACCCAATAATTTTCCTTATAGCATTTTCAGTAAAAGATCCAGTCTAGAGTCTGGTATTACATGCAGTTGTCATGTCTTGTTAGCCTGTTTAATTTGGAACGTTCCCACAGTGGTGCTACTGCTTCAGAGGGCCCCTTCTCCTGCTGCTTTGTGCTACAGTCTCTTGGAATCGGCAGTTTACAAACTTTGTGGTCTCAGGACTCCTTTAAGCTTTTAAAAATTATTGAGGGCCCCAAAGAATTCTTGTTTATGTGGGTTATATCTATCAATATTTACCATATTAGAAATTAAAACAAATTTTTAAAATATTTTAATTCTTTTAAAAATAAAAATAATAAACTCTTTACATATTAACAAATATTTTAACAAAAAAATAACTTTTCCAAAATAACAAAAAATATTTAGTGAAAAGAATAGCATTGCTTTATATTTTTGCAACTCTGATGTTTGGCTTAGTAGAACACTGCAGTATTCTCATTTCTGCTTGTGCATTCCATTTGTTGCAATATGTTGTTTTATGAAGAAAATCAAGCTTTGCACAGATATGTAGTTAGAAAAGGGAGATGTATTTTAATAGCCTTTTCAGAAAATTATGGCTATTCTTTGATGCCACACCACAACTTGATAAATGGGTTTTTAAAAATATTATTTAATATCCCTAACAGAAGAGGAAAGCATTTCTTGTTTCCTCTAATTACTTGATGAAATTAAACAGTTTGCAGGAATAATAAGCAACATTATTAAAAATCCTTTCCCTTAAGATTGTTTTTGGGTTCATCCAATGCACAGTGACTGAGATGTAGACTGATGGAGAATAAAAGATTTGTATAAAAGCTCAAGAACTGTTCTTGCTAATGGTTTTTGCAAAAGAAGCTAGGTTTCATTTCTTCAGGCTCCTGAGATCAGGAGGTATTATGCGTGCAGGTATTGTTATTAGTTGCCCTCCAGTTGGCTCTGACTCATGGTGACCGTATGTATAACAGGACAAATTGTTGCCCGGTCCTACACCATCTTCATGATCTTTGATATGTTTGAGCCCACTGTTGTGGCTACTGTGTCAATCCATCTCATTGAGGGTTTCCCTCTTTTTTGCTGACCCTCTACTTTACCAACCATGATGTCCTTTTCTAGAGATTAGTCTTTCCTGATGATGTGTCCAAAGTAAGCAAGATGAAATCTTGTCATCCTCACTTCTAAAGAGCATTCTGGTTTTTTTGGTTTTTATTTTAAATTTTTTATTATGCATTAGGTGAAAGTTTACAGAGCAATTAGTTTCCCATTCCATAGTTTGTACACATTGGTTTCATTCCCCACAATGTGTCAGCACTCTCCCCTTTTCCCTCCTAGGCTTGCTGTTTCCTTTCATCCTGATTTTCTTCCTGCCTTCTCATCTTTGCTTTTGGGCAGATGTTACCCTTTTGATCTCATGTAATTGATAGTCTAAGGAGCACATTCTTCTCTGGTGTTATTGTTTATTTTACGGGCCTGTCTATGGTTTGGCTGAAAGGTGGTGTCTGGGAATGGCTTTAATTCCAGTTCAGAAGAGTGTCTTAGGGCCATAGTCTTAGGGGTTCATCTAGTCTCTGTCAGACCAGTAAGTCTGATCTTTTTTGTGAATTTGATTTTTCTGCAATTTTTCTCCCACTCTGTCCAGGACCCTCTATTGTGATCCCCGTCAGAGTGGTCAGTAGTGGTAGCCAGGCACCATCTTGTTATTCTGATCTCAGAGTTGTGTAGGCTGTGATTCATAAATGGTTTTCCTTAAAGGTTAGTTGCAAACCATATCAGTGAACATGTCATACTATCTTAAATTAAAACCCATTGTACTTTTAATTGATCTTCGTGCATAATATTATAACATCATGCATTGATCATTTGGAAAATACTAGTTTGTTGAGTTATACAGATCTTCCAAATGTTGATACAACATCCAAAAATCCTTTCGTAAATGTCACCACTGAACTCATCAGGAAAATCTTTTAAGTATTGCGAAGCTATTGAGCTCACAGTGGCAGATACAAGTTTTCTAAAACTCTAATTTTATCTTGAAAGGTTGGCTTTTATCATTTTATTACTTCATTTCCCTCGAAGTAATAGGTTTACTTTGTTCATTTTCAAGAAAATGTCTGTCATATACCCAACTCTGATTAACTGTATTTGTGAGGCTTTCTTTCAAGCAGAAATGGTGTTCTATGCACAAGAGGCTGGCTCAGCTTGCAGCTCGAACTACAAGTGCTGTGGAGGCCCATTACACCTCGCTGTACAGCAGAAGTGCTTTACGTGCATGTCCCATGGCATCCCACGGAAAGCTGAAAAGATGCGTGGAGATTTAGTACCATTAATACTTTCTTCTTGCTTCATCAAGGACATTCTTAGGTAAAACTGGCTGTTTTTCTTATTTTTCCTAGCACGTGACAGTGGAGAACACTAGTACATGTTGGTGCTGCTGTTAAGGTGTCAGCAGTTTACCCACCGTTGCTCTTGTTCCCTTAATGCAAATTTTAACAAAGTGAAAAAGGTAAATAACATCTTAGTATTATGATGAAATGAGCCTCTGGGTGGTGCAGAGGGTTAAGTGCTCAGCTACTAACTGAAAGGTTGGTGATTTGAACCCACTCAGAGATGCCTTGGAAGAAAAGCCTGGTGATCCGCTTCCGAAAAATCAGCCACTGAAAACCCTATGCGGCAGTTCTTCTCTGCACTCATGGGGTCGCCATGAGTCTGACTTGATGGCAACCGGTTTTTTTTTGGGGGGGGGGTGGAGGTTTTTTGTTTTTTTTTTTTTGGGTATTATGATGAAAATAGTTTTGACAATGTGGATCCCTGCAAGACATCCACAGGACCCCACTTTGAGATGCGCTGCCTTAGATGATAGGGTGGCTCCAGCCTGAAGGGCAGTTTGGAAGCCCTGCTGGCTTTGCCCCTTTCTCCTTGTACGTTTCTTGGCCTGGATGACG